ATTGGAAACCGTTCAGTGGAAGAAGCAAATGAAATGTTAAAAAAGACTGATGTCTAAACAATTTATCAAAATCTCAGGACTTTGTGGCCCACAGTTTCTGAGTGATTCAGCCCAAAAGTTTCACCGGGGGGTTGCCTGCGTGCAGACGTCTCCTATTTCCTTTGTTGAAATAGGAGACGTCTGCACGCAGGCAACGGGGGGGGGGTACTCCCTTATATAAGCCATGGTATGTGCCGCCCCATCGGGTAGGTTTTTGGGCCGTTTTGGTCTGGAAACGGGTATACACTTTGCCCATTTGGTCTGGTATCGGGTATGGTTTTCGAGGAAACTACGGAGTGTATGAACGTATTTATCTTTTCAATTCCAATGAGTAAGGAAAGAAAGAGAAATATGCAAATTCGAAATGAATTTGAATTTTTTTTTGTTTGCACTGTAATCTATGTAATGATAACATAATTGCTGCCTAAAGCCAGGTCTGAAAACGGGTATGGATTTTAGAGGTCTAGTCTGAAACCTGGTGTAGAAAATTACATTTTTTGGCCTGAAATCGGGTCAGGATTTGAAGAACCGGGCGGCACACCCCCACCAAGAATTATCCAGGAGTACCCCCCCACAGCCCTTGATAAATGGGCGGGGAAAGCCCTGGGGAAGAGGTCCCCCCCCCGCCCACCGCGGGCGTTTCACGCGCCTTTGTAGAACTTTGTATGGAGACGCCGTTGGTGTACTGTTTTGGTGCACCAATAGTGTTTTCACTCACGTGGCCAACACCTATGCAAATTTATTGGAACAAAGGAGAGCGTTTGCATAAAAAAAGAGTTCAACTTTGGGACACTTACATCGGCCGGCGTGACGTCATGTGAAAACAGTCGGGAAATACTCTTTCTTTTCACTCGAGAACTAGCATACGTGCGCATAAAAAGAAGATATTACGTGGCCGCGGGGAGATACGAAATTTCTCTAATACTTGAAATGGTTTATATACTGCTGGAAATCAAGAGGAGAGACTTTTTCAAGGCAACAGTAATCCTTTTTGGTGTGACGCACTGTGAAAACGCGGAAGTTCAAATTGCTGTACAGTTTTCGAACTTTGATGACGTCACTGTGAAAACGATATTGGGGACTCCCCCAAAGACTTCCGCAAAGTTTGTGACTCCTTTTCGTCGATCGGATAGAGATGGCTTTTGCTCGAACCGATAATCTTTTGAGCCCTTACAGAAAGTTTCTCGTCGAACTTTCGTCGTACATTTCAGGTAACGATTTGGAGACCTTGAAATTTGCTGTTGTAGATTTAATTCCACGCAGGAAAACGGAGGACGCCAGCAGTGGATTGAAGTTATTTGATGTATTGGAACAAGATTTAAGAATATCTCCGGGAAATCTGTCTCTTTTGGAAGATCTCTTCAAAACAATTGGCAGGATGGATCTTGCTTTGAAAGTGCAGTATTTTTCAAAATCGACTTTGGCCGATAACTCCCGCAATAACATAAATGGTAAGTTGAATATTTTGACGATGTTTTGGTGTTTAATCCGGAAGCACATCGCATATCGTGAAGAAAACGAGCCACCACGCTAAATTGTGTTCAGTGGACGTAAAAGAACACTGAAGTACAGTTGAACCCCGATAACTGGAACTAGGGAAATCAAAAAAAGTTCGATCGCGCGAGTTATCGGGAGTTTGAGTTAGCGAGAGTTTGAAGCAAATAACCGGAAATACGAAAATAAGCAAATGCATGGAGAGGGAATGCAATTAAGCAAAAAAGTATACAGGAATGGACACTGGATTTGAACTGGAGTGACAAAAAAAATAAAGACAAAGAATTGAAACGGTTACTTTGAAATAAATTCAATGTCTTGGACTTCAGTACACGGGTTTTTTTTTTCCTGACTAATGTCACGCGCTTTATAACATGGCTCGAGTTATCGAAGGTAAAATTATCTGAAGGGGAACAAAAATTACTTCGAGTTAGCGGGAGGTTCGAGCTATCGAGGGTAAAATTTCAGTAAAATGTACGAAGGAAATCCGGGAAAATCGACTTTGGTTCGAGTTAGCGCAAGGTTCGAGTTAGCGAGGGTTCGAGTTATTGCGAGTCAACTGTAAAATGATGTTGCAATGTTGGAACTATGTTGTCACCGTCCGAAACAGTATCACAACCAATGTTGCAACGCTGTGTTTCGCTAAAAATCGCCGTTGCGATTCATTCTGTGTAACCGTCACCTTTAAACGTCAAACGCTTTGCATGGAAAGGAGGCTGTGTATTTTAAAACTTTGGTAAACATGGCTCAGTTGTTCGCATATTATCAGGATGTGTTGAATATAAAATACTTGCTAACCAAAAAAGCAATTATAACCAAAGGTTACAAAGTGCAGGCGACAACGATCGAAAGTCAAAATGCTTTTGATCCAATGCCGCGTGTGCTTTGGGTTGCGTAACTGTCATGTGATAGATGGTTAACAACTTGTGTCACTTGTCAAGGTTTAAAACACTAAAGCATTCTTATTTAAAATGGTAGTTGAGGAATATCTTGATTTCCTGACAATGTTTTTCGCATCCATCGACCTTAAAATGTCACACGCAGATCAGGTTCGTTGAAAGTGTTTGGAAGATTTACAACTGAAAGTTCCTTTAGATTGATAGCGGTGTACCCATGATGCCTTAGTAATGAGGTAGTTCTTGTATAAGATCACCTCTTGCTAGAGTATAAAACTTCGTTTTGTTATCACACAGCTATTGTGCTTCAGTACTTACAATCACACATATAATGTTTATTGGGGCAAGTAGGACTGTGAAGATTGAGAGTGACAATAAAACTTTATTTTTACCCCCCTGTCATTTGCAGGCCATATAGGTTTATATATTCAAAATGATGCTGACGTTACAGAATGAGATATAATTGGTTATTCAGTGGAAGAAAGAGACAATCTTCCCATGGATGAAATAATTATGTGTACCATTCAGCATTGCTTTGCAAATGTCTCTGTAAGCCAGTTGTTACTCTCAAACTCAGAAAACAGTGAACATGCACCTAAAAAATTTCAGGACTATTGATTGTGTAGTGACCAATCGCATTTAAGTTCAGGACATGCAAGCAAACCTCAAAACCACAAACTTATCACAGTTTCAGCTGTTTGCAGTTTAGTTTTCTCATGACTTATTGGCTTTTTCCTCACAAGTGAACACCATAATATTCCATTACTATTAGAATTTCAGCCTTTCACAATGACAGTGCCTGCTTAGGAGTACAGTCAACTGTCTCTGAGATGGGCACCTTTGGGACCGGTATTAAGTGTCCGTCTTAGGGAGATGTCAGGCCATCTTCTAGTATAGAGTCAAGTCAAACAAAGGGAGTAAATAAAGATTAAGGGAGAAACTCTAGGTGTCTGTTTTACAGAGGTGTCCATCTTATAGAGGTGTCCATTAAGAGAGAGTCCACTGTATACAGGATACAGGTTGTGGCTTCAGTAGGAAAATGACCTTAGAAATTAATTCAGGGCTATTGAGAACTGTAAAGAAATTAAGATACGGAGATGGCGATTATTATTCATCTACTAGTGAGGTCTGAAATCTGCAGAATGTCTTCTTTGCACTACCCTATTCCTAGTACACACATCTTAACCCTTAGATACCCCCCCACCCAGTCCCTTGACACTCACAAATCCACCCAGCCCCAGTCATTGTCTTCTTAATAAACATAAATTACTGGTTGATCATTTGCCTGCGTGCAGACGTCTCCTATTTCCTTTGTTGCACGTGGAAAAGCCCCTTTCCGCGTGCAACAAAGGAAATAGGAGACGTCTGCACGTAGGCAAGTTGATCATTGGCATGGGTGGATTTAGGGGTGCGCCACTGAAGAGGGCTGCACTGCCCCCCTCCCCCATTTTCTTAGAAGTTTTCAATTGTATCAGTTTTAAAGAATTTTCAGTAAAATATAGAGTAACTATTTTGCTGGCTAAAACATTCTGGCTACCCTCCCCCCGCCCCCTACTTCATGAATTTTCTGGATCAGCCCCTGTATGGTGATTCACCTAACTATAGTTGTATTGTCAAACAATATATTTTCTCTATTGTATAAGGTACAGAGTTTGAAAATCTGGTCACTGATGGGGGTGGTGATGAGGCACCCAAATGCCAAACAGCAAACTGTGTGGCGAAAAGTGAGTATACAATCTCAGGCCTAGTTCTGTTTTTAATTGTTAATGGATTTTGTCTTTTTTGCATATTGACTTTCCTCCCCTGCAAATTCTGAAATCAGGAGAATTTGTCTTTTACAAACATTACTCCTCTTCCCATGAACTTACCCCTTATCCACCCTACCCTCCCCAGATACCCCACCTGACCTTCAAGGTCGTGACACCAGGAGCACCTGCTGACACCCCACCAGTCCCCAACCATTTTTAATATGAACTTTATTTATTAGTTGACCCGTCACTGCCTCCCCTTCAACTAGTGAAATCCCTACCCTTCCATTTACCTGAACCCTCAAAATGCACTCCGTTCGGGCGGAGCCTCCCCGTATAGGCCATTATAGGAAGTACCCATCAGGGTCACTATGGTAGTTGTATGAGGCTAGGGTGATGAAAACCTCTGCTATTTTCGCCGGGTATGATAAGGTTTTAATTATATGGTCATCCTCATTATCTATATCTAGGTGTAGATTTTGAAGATGTGGTCACTGATGGGATTGGTGATGAATCAGAGAGTGATCCTAATGAGCGAATGGAAGATCGTGTAGACAGAAGTAAGTATACAATGTCAGGCGGGCCCTGTTGCCGCCTTTGCGTTATTTTGCTTGCGTATCGACTTTCCCTCGCCATGTACCCGAGGAAAAAGGCAACCGAAAGTACAACGTTTTGAAAGCTTACTCCAGAGCGGATATGTCTGATAACACCATTTACCTGTTCACGTTTACTGAGAGAGCAAAAACGTCAATTTTCGAAAAGGATGACGTCAAGGATCTAGTGGGTGAAAATAACACTGAACTGCTCCTTGCACTTGTGCCACGGACCTCTGGCATATCTTAATTTTAGTAGTTAACAGATCAAGAAATCTATGGTACCATGCATTTTCATTATTTTTTTAATGTAAGACATATAACTATTTTACACGTATATCTCAAAGCCAAAACTTCTTTTAATTTCTAAAAATGATTTGTTTCTCTATTGACTGAAAGATGAAAGGCAAGTAGGACAAGATAACACAGCAGCTCTTACGACCGCCTCAGTAGCAACTCAGGGCATGTTGCTCAGTGCTTGTGATACACAAACCTTCAGAGGAATTGATGGAGCACATGTTACACAAGCAATACCATTTACACAGATTTCTTCTACTGAGAAAAGTGAAGGTAAGACAAAAAACCTGATACTTGAGAATTTCCAAGTATCAAATGAACTATTATTTTAAGACTGTTTTTCTGGCGGGGTTGTTATGCCTGGGGTATTTTCTTGGCAGTCGAGACGACTTTACCCTGACGCTATCCCGCCAGCTACGCGGGCTATATTATTTGCAAGGTAGATCTTTAAAGAGCTTTTAATTAATAAGGTTCTCAGATTTTCATCATGCCCCGTGCATTTAATACATGGCTTGTTCCTTAGCTGAAAGAAGTACTTTTTGATGGTTTACCTTCATGGTAAACGTCTTCCCAGTCTTTCTCCGTTCTCATTACAGCACGCAGCTTGAGATCGGGAAGATTAAGGAAATATCTAATTCCTCTACATAGTTTTGGGTCGACATTAGGATGAGCTGAATAAATTTACACCTAACTGCAATAAAGTTGTCATAGAAAAAAGCAAAAAGCAAAAAGCCAAATAGGAATTAATTAGCCATTTGATTTACATTTGCGTATTTTAATAATTTAATAATTATTTAAGAAGTCATTCACAATAACAAGACACAATTCTGTAATTCCGCGCTGTAAGATTCCGCACATGAAACACTGATGTGTGTAACAAAAGGGTCCTGACAAACGAAGCTTGGTTTGTGGCGCGGGAGAGGAACTGGCGGAGGAACGCCTCACCCTCTCCGGGATGAAAAATCCTGCCTACGCCCCAGATTTGTTGCTTGAAAATTGTGATCAGATGTTGTTGTGCACTACAAACCATGCGCAGACTGGCTTTTCTATTTAGCACTAAACGAAAAGACGCGTCGCGTTCCTGGAATTTACCTTAGGCTATATTGATTGAAAAAAATGGAGCCATTATTTCTTTAGTAGTTATCCGATGTACGTTTGTAATTAGAGCACGTTTGATATCCGCTAGATGAATCAGCCCACCAAGAAACTGATGCAAATGATTTCTCTCATATTACGTGATTAATATTCAGCTATAAGCGTGTGTGTTGTGAATGTTGCAAGCAATGATAATTAAATGCTAATTAATTCCTATTTGGCTTTTGGCTTTTTGCTTTTTTCTATGACAACCTTATTGCAATTAGGTGTGTCACTATCTAGAATTAAACTTATGTCATTTTTCATCTCTGAAGAGGGCAGTATTAACCAAATAACCAAAACGGAAAATGTAGCGTGGTAAATAACATTGTTTGCTTTCATCGATTATCCTTGACTTGTTTTCTTGCTTGACTCAATGAATTAATATCCGCTTCCATAAAGTCATGTTCTATATTATATTGTTGTATTTCTGACCATTTGAACGGAAGGGCGTGGGACATTGCTTGAATTGCGAGCTAAGTTTAGAATTGTAGCTGAAGAGCTAACGATATCCCCCTTTTTTCTATTCCAGGCTCCTCCTTTGCTGCGCCTACTTCCGAGAGGTCAGCCCCTACGCCTGCTCTTACGCCTGCTTCTGCCCCTGCCCCTGCCCCTTCTGTTGCATCAGATGGGTCAGGTCGCCTTCAACATGATTCCATTGCGGGACCACCACCTATGCGATATGTCAATTATCTGGCGTACCAAGGATACTCAGTGGAAATCATTGGTGGAAAGCACTTTAAAACACCTGATGGAGAGTTTGTGGAGTTGAAGAGCGGCACACAGTACAAGATACATGTCAAGAACTCCCATGCCTATAGTAAGGATGCGTACCTACATTAAGCCATACATTTCAATCATATAATCCTGACGGTTTTTATGGGTTAATCCCGGTCCCGAACATACGTTTGAAGAATGCCTTGCAGAAGCTTTAGATTCAATAATTATCCGACCACCATTAGTTAAAAATAGTGAGATTAAGCGGGATAAAAACAGATAGTGATACGGTAGAAATACTATTGAGATGACACACTGACGTTACCTTGCTAATAGGCATGTTCACTCTATACCGAATAACTTTGTCGAACCGACACGACAAAGTTGGCCGCTATAGTACTAATTTACATACCTATCCGATGTGCGACTCTCCACTCAGTTTAGAGATCGGAGCGGCCCAAATTCGCTTCGTTACAGAAATCGCGCCGAAATCACCGTTCTTATGTGTGAATAGAAACACTATCCGGTATCGGTTTCGTTTCAGTGCAAGAGCTAGCTTTCCGGTATAGATGAACACAGCCTTAGGTTCACCAGGTTGCCAAAGTCAACCGTCGCAAAGTAAAAAGGCCATTAATGTTTTGAGGTTCTTGATATATTCTACTCACAGCTGATATTTACAAGCAGGGAGAGATACAGCAAAAACACTGCCGCATTTCGGAAGAGATTTTAGATTAAATGAAAGCAGTTTGACGATTTAAGCTTCGTCGACTGTAATAGATTGAACTTGGTCCGCGCCATGAAAAGACCACATCTACGGATATTTTTTTATGGTTAACTTTATGCTCGATCTCTGTCCTTTGCAAAGGTTGCAACTTAGACGTATCCATAGATGGCTATGACGTTGGAGGCTGGGTTGTATATGGAGGACAGGAGTTAACGATAGAACGACCAGCTTACGAGGCTAAGAAGTTCACTTTCTATCGCGTAAAAGCCGCACCCAAAGAAGCTGGTATTGAATCTGGCCGGGATGAAAATGGGCTCGTTAAGTGTGTGTTCACACCAGAAGCTTTCCTGGACATCCCAGTTGCTATTTCCGGCTTACCTCACCCACTGGAAGTGAATATTTCCCCAGACGCAACCGTTGGTGAGTTGAAACGTCAAGTACAGAGTCAGCTAAATGCTGCCAACGATCCCCATCAACTTCTTGTTCTGAATGACGAAGTGTTGTCAAATTCTTCCCGTTTAAGGTCAGTATGTAATAATTTCGCAAAATGCACAAGAGAGGCCTTGTTATAACGACGATATCTAGCTAGTAGAAGCTGTGTACTTTTTTATCAGGTCAGAAACGGTTGCCGAGTTTCTGTCCACCCAGGTCATTGAAAATTCCCAGTTTTAAGCCATCCTTTTTTGGCTGAGAATTCGTTGCGTTTTTGGTAAAGCCGAATAAAAACAGTTCGCATGTTTATTCTCAGGCTGTTCGCAGTAAAGTAATAAACTTTTTACTTTCTTGTTGTTTTGTTGTTTTAGTTTCGTTTGTGCGTAAATCAAACCAAATACGTTTGGTAGATTTAGAAATTTGGAAGGGATTTTTGCCGGAATTTAGGACATTTCGATTTGGTTATGTGATGTTACATTCATAAAATAAGTATCAGTACCGGATCCAGACCTTGAGAAAAAAGGGGGGGGGTGGGGTGGCGGAGACGTCATCCAGATCCTGAGATAAGCGGCGGGGGTCCGGTCTCCAAAAAACATTTCTTGGCCCTTTAAGCCTCAGTTTTTTGGTCTAAAATTAAGGGGGGGGCGCGCCCCTACCCTGGATCCGCCCCTGAGTATTGAGGTTTAATCTAAAACATACGCTAGGAAAGAAGCACAGTCATCTGGTTCTCAACAGGTCACCGGTGGGACCGATACACAAATTCACTCGTCCGTGTCAGTGAGCTGTCTTCTGTAGTGATAAACGAAAATAGGGACAAAATGAAGGCAGTGACCATCTATTGTTGCCCGTTTTAGGGAAGTGCACATCCTATAAGGATGTCCTTTAGATTGTAAAAGAGAGTCGTGATTCAAATAGAACATAACAGGGTCGATAAAACCATCTGGTAGGAGGCAATCATCGGGTATGGTCAAGGAGTTTAATTGTCTTGGAATTGCCGAGAACTTGAAAACCAGCCAGCGATTATGAGGAGGATGTGAAGTCGAGAACACTGCTTACTACTCGGTAGCCTGTTCCAGGCGTTCAGATAGTGGGGAGCGGTACGAAGTAAAAAGGACCGCAAAAAAATAAAAGGGAGCGAGGAGGAGAGGTGAGAGAGGGAACCGCACCCCTCTCCCCAGTCCCCCTCTACTTTCATCGCTTTCTTTACTTTGCACCGATCTCCACTATCTGAACGCTTGGAACAGGCTAACTACTCGGCTTCGCTACCTCCAATAGGCGAGCGCGTTCTTGTCATAGATGGTAAGACCTTTAACCAAGGGTTATCGATCGGGCAGCTTCCAAGGTAAACTTGTTAAGAATTGGTTTGGATGTTTTAACATTAATTTTCTTATTATATATAGCTACTTGGTGAAATCACCTGGAAACTTGAGAAACCTGAGATTAATTGATGCCGAATTGGAGATAACAGTCGAGGCATCGTCTAGTGAAAGATTTCCGGTAAAGATACAACCAAGCAAAGCGAATGTCATTGATTTGATGGCTGTGATAGAGGAGAAGCTTGGCATTCCCGTAAAGGACCAGAAAGTCTACTACGGGAAAGCCCGACTGTCAGACGCACCACGGAGAAGCCTTCCTTCGAAACTCATCTGCAGTTTACGGCCAAGTGTAGTAGTGATTGTACCAGAATACATCACTATAACTGTTGAGGACATGGAAAGTGGCGAGGGTTGCATAGTGAAGGTTGATAAAGCAAAGACTTTGAAGGACCTTGTGGATGAAATATCACTGTGCAAAAACATGTCAGAAACTGAAAAAGCCGCCGTTACATTTTATTTCAAAGGACAAGGACTCTGTCCTTCCGAAAATGACCAATCCTTATCAAGCCTTGGCTTTGGCAGTGGTTCCAAGATAGAAATGAAGAGGTGAGGGTATTTAGCATAGACACGGCGCTGATATTTAAGAGTCGCAAAATACCACAGTTTACTTTCCTTACATTGTGTTTTTCTTACTTCAGTCGAACTTCCATATGCGACAACTTCTCGTAAGCCACCAACTCCCACAAAAGGTCACTTATCCAAAGTTAGAATCAGTAAACGTCTGCTACCTCTTTGCATTTTGGGTGGTCTGTTAGGGAAGGTTCAACTGTATTTTATGCGCACAATAAGGAATATGACTAGCTATAGCTATCGCCAAGTGCCAAAGAGCAAATTCTATCCATATGCGCGCGCTGTTGAATTTGTTTAGAAATGTCATGAAATACATTAAGTGATGAAAAATAGATCGAATTTCATTCGATTGCATTGAAATTAGTGCAAACTTAAAGCAAGGGGCACCTAAAGACCAACCGACGGCCGTGCCAGTACCTCACGCATGCGCACAACCGCATCACGCGGGTAGTGGCAGCCGCAGACAGTTGTTTCGCCCTCACTGGAACTTAGAAGCTTGGGGGAGTTCGGGTTTTAGAAAAACCACTTACTTCCAGTTGAGGGGTGTGCAAAGCAGTTTATCAAGTGCCAGCTCCACACAACACATGTGGGAGCTGTTGGCTGGGAAGCGCACGGCAGTTCTCCCACGACGTGTCCGCGGAAGGCAGATCATGGTTTTGGTGTATGTGTGCCCCTTGCTTTAATTTGTCTTTTGAAAAAAGCAAACTAAACTGTTCTACTGCATAAAGAATTTGAAATCCCGACTTTACGCATCAAATTTTTCGAGATATTGAAGTTCGTGTTTTTGTCCGAAGCTGCGCACAAGTCATTTTGCGTAAAATTTAGTGGTCTTATAAGCAAACTTAAAATCCTCGAAAAATCATGTTGAAGTCCGCGAATATTCAACGTACAGACTTATATTTGGTCTCTTTTTAAAGCTTAAAAAGTTTATGGTGCGCCAATGAAACCTTCCGAATTATTTTGCTTCAAAGACACAGAAAAATTTGCTGCGTTACTGTTTTTCTTAGCGGCCTGCAATAAAAAATTCCAGCGGGCAAATGCGACAGATATCGCGTAGGATGGAAATGATCCACCCCCGACGATTGGTTGAAGACGGGATGAGCACGTGACTCAAAAACACGCACACGACTCGTAGATTCTCTGATCTGTATCACGTAACCAATGACATTCACAATGCATTCTCTGTGCTGCATTACGTCATGGTTGCCTTACATTACTCTATGTTATATCGATTCAAGTTTTTTTCTGCCCCTGGAACAATCGCGCACGGCTCTATTAGGTTGCCGCCTCGCAACCACGCGTCTTCGCGAGTCTGCTCGTTGGCAGTAATATCAGTTACCTCTATTTCTTATAAAATCGCTTCAAGTGAATTAAATAACTTGTTTCACTTAATGTGTGGTGGATAAGAATCTATTAAGAGCATTATAATCAGCCTGAATTGTGAAAAACTACCCCATAGTATAAAAACCTGTTCAGTCTGACCTCGAAAATTTTAGGTTCTTATATGTGGGCTTTTACTGTATTATATTATCAGGCGTTTGGTTTTTTAATCAGTTTTTTTAGTTTACGCTTAACTATTTTAATTTTTCAGAGACACTTGAACAATTAATGTCACTAAAGTGCTACTGATCTGTATATGTAAATAGCGCTATAGAAATAATAAATCATTATTATTATTATTATTATTATTAAAATTAACTTTGAAAATCATCGAGCGGTTAAGACACCTAACAACAGTTAATTGAAGTTTTTAATTTGTACTTACAAAATATGAACAGAAATTCGTGTGATTAGAAGTGTCTGTCGTACACATTAGGTTTGTGAGAAGTTCCGAAAAAGTGAATGATGATGATGAAAAAGAAGCCAAAGGGTCATTGCTTCACTTCACGGAACACCCTGAGGAACAACTGAAACTCAGTGAAGACCAAATGAGAGGTATAGGTATTCCTAACAAAAATAATTCGTATTTCTACAAAATTCTTATTTCTATATAAAAAAATATATCAAACTATATGATATTCACGAAATAAATGTTCTTCTTGAAAGAATGAAAGATGGTAAATCACTCTCCAATTGAGTTCTCTGTAGCTCAAGGGAATAGAGCGCCTGCCCGGAGTTTGGGAGGTCGTGGGTTCGATCCCATGCTCGTGAAATGTTGATCATTTCATTTTCACATTTGTTTCACCGAGCTTAAAATTTACCATCCTTCATTCTTTCACCACACTTTGCAGTAGTATGCAGGACGCGTGTCAAATATGAACCTAGTATATGGCCTCATCTTGGCCTCGCTCTCCATGAGTTCTCCGTAGCTCAGTGGATAGAGTGCCCTCCCGGTGTTTAGGAGGTCATAGGTTCGTCCCACGCTTGTGACATGCTGATCACTTCATTTTCACAAATGTACTTCTTATCACACAGAAAGTCAACACTATAAAAAAGAAGCTAAAGGATCAATTCTGTCGAGAATCTGGGAAAAAGTTTCTTCTCCATTTGCTTGTTAGTATAATATAGAATCTGACTTCAGTGGAAAGTGCGTGAGTACGTTATTTTAGTTTACGCACGAGTTGTTGACGTATCAGAAATCGAAAGAGTGAGCGCAGCGAACGAGTGAGATTTCTGATACAAAAACAACGAGTGCATAAATACCGTACAAAACACTTTCCATATGGTATTGTGTTTGTTAACATACTGAGATATTCATCTTTTTACCAAAGTCTTTTATTTGAATCCTTTTTTTAATTAATTGATAAAATTTGCCGCTAAACATGGTGAGTGACAAGGAAAATGACGATAACTATCAATTACTAATAGTTTAACTTATAATGAGGTTGAGGAGGAAAGGTAACAGGAACTACCACAAATCTTAAATTTTTGTTCCAAAACTATAGTTAAAAATTTGGGAAAAAAGTGAAAGACAAAAGATGGCTGCTATGAAAAGTACAACTTAAAGACACTTTGTAACTTCCCATGATGGATTGCAGGCGTGTCAGAATTTTCGTGGTCCACGAATTTCCATCGCGACACCAGAAATGACGTAAAAAAAAAAAACAGCGTTCTTGCAGGTTAATGCACCGTTAACCGAGAAGACCTGGGGACGAGGTTGAGTTGTTTCGGTTGTGAACTTGAAAAATGGCGGACATTTCACTCGTTTCAAAAAACTTCAAAAGTAAGAACTAGGGGAAAAAATAACTAAAAAAAAGGCAAGAACAGCAAGAAGACAACTCGAAGGGCGACATCTTGTATTTGGAGAATATTTGCGGAGCTGAACAACCCTTAACGTGCACTATCGAAGATGAACTTAACATCGATGGATCGATGGAGGTAAGCATGTGTTAGCGATGTTTTTAAACTAGGAATTATTTTGAATGAATAATAAAACAATTATTGAATTCGGCTTTCGTATCCTATGAAGAATTATGGAGATCTCGGATTGTGTTATCCGTCGAAGCCGTATGTTATAACACCCTCCTCGATCTCTATAATTCTTCATAAGATACTAAGCCTCATTCATTAATTGTTAAATAACGACTGAAATATAAAAAAAAACTTTGCTAAATTGCTTAAAAATTAGTAAGCCTAATGAGTTCTTTGCCATGAAACAAAGAATGTTGGAGTTGCTGTAATGTTTGTTTTGACGTTTTATCAAGACATTTACCTTTCTTTCTTGTTTCTTTTTCGTTTTTGCTACGTTGATGATCAGCTGTTCGTAGATCTAAAGCTAAGAGTATGGGTAAGTAATACCTCCAGCATTTTGTATGATTTTTTTTCTGAAAGCCTGTTTTAATATGCCTTTAAGGGATTAGTCGATGTAAACTAACTAGTGTCGTCTGTCTCTAGTAGACAATTTTTTTCAGTTTTGCCAGTAGATTATCTATATCTGTGGATAGCATTTAATGCTAAAAAAAAGACATGAATTACAAAAAGAAAACGCGGAGGGGAGAGGGGGGTGTCTGAACACAGGCTACCATAAAACAGTGCATCCTTTTCGAAATTCAGGCCCCGTCCATACGTATCCGGATATTTTTTAATTCGCTACTTTTTCTCTTCGGTTTTGGCTTTCGTCCACACGTATCCGGTGAATCCTGCTTACGAATCCGCAACTTTTTGAATCCGCTCTCAATTATGGAAATTTTTTAATACACTATGAATCCGGAATTGTGTGGACGCTAAATTCGAATATGCCAAGGTCAGTTGTATCGTGAATATTGCATTCAAGATGGCCACCTCGACGCATGCTCAGTTTCCAATACTCCCAGAGGAGTCCTGGGTAACAGAAATAATCCGGATATATGTCGGATACGTGTGGACGGGCAAATTCGATTTGAAAGCGGATACGTGTGGGAAAACCAAGGGTAGGAAAAAAATGAGAAAACCAATTGGGAAGCGAGCTCGCGTTGTTTCTCTCATTCTTTGTGTTAATTGCGTCCAATATTCTTTCAAGTTTTTTTCATTTTTGGGGGGTTGATCACGTAGTCTACGAGGGAGACAATTATCATTCTTAGCAAAACTAAGCAGTGCCTGTCGTACTACTTCCGTCTATATTTCAGTTCAGCACTGGAAACTTTGTTTTGCTAGCTGATTATCTATTTTTTGTGCGGCTATTCCATCGACTACGAGTTTAACTAAACAATACTGCATTATAATTCTCAACATTGCTAATAAATCAAAATAAGGGAACAGCTCTTTGCGATAAAGCAAATAATATCAGAGTTGGTATTAGCACTTTGAATTATCAGGCACGGGGAAAACAACATTTTTGATTTTCCTTCTTTGTTTTTTCATGTTGATGATCAATGAAATACATAATAGTCAATTGCGAAGGTAAGTTGTGTTTCTTGTGGTGGTAAAGGTGGTGGTGGAGGGAAAACAATGAAAATGTAGTAGTGGTGGTGGAGGATAAGGAAAACTATGGAAATATAAAGAAGCAAACGTGGGAGGAAGGAAAATAATGGTGATAGAAATAGCTACAATCCGGAACAAAAG